GGGGGTGTTATTCAACCGAATCGCGATCGCTTCGGCTGTTGAAAGTAAGCGGTGCTTGACCTGCTTCGATCTCACCCCGATGATCGCCTGACCGCTTCACTCATTCTGACACGATGCTCGGTTTCGACCAGATGAGCCGTGATCGCTAGAATTACATAAAGCCTGTTATCAAATGAGTGTCAAATGCATTTGATTCATTCGACAGTACTAATGACATTTGCAGAATGATTCGAACTCACATACACCCCTGACTGTATTATCCAATTTATCCACACACACGCATACAAACACAGACATTACTTACGCGTATTCTATTTCCTTGAACTATATGATTTTGTAACCTATAAAAGAGTGCTGTATTTGGTTAGTAAATAAGTATATTACTTTTTAGACTCCTAACTGGTAGATAAAATCGATAATAATGAACAAGTAACGTTAAACAAGGACGGGGGCAGTCACCGTTTAGCGGACGTTCTTGAGGAGATAGGGCTCTGGGTGAAGCCTGAAAGAGAAGAAGAATGGGGACTTTGTTTTAGAGAATGTGTATTGCCCAGTGCACTTTGTGTTCCATTACATGAATATCATCACTTGAATTTCAGACAGAAAGGTCCTTTCCGTGCTTACCAAGAAGGAATAAGAATCGTATCGATCCAGAACTTCACGTTTTTCTCGACAGTTTGGATTCTACACCGGATGCAGATAGAAATTTGGCTTTGGAACACCCAGAAAACGACAGTCAAAGTACATTTACAGGGGAGAATGCACAATTGGACGGGACATCTGAGGTTAACAACGAACCTCCTCCTTGTCAGACTCGCCCCGTTTCAAACAGTGTTGTATCAGGACAGACCAGAGAAGAAGAAGAAACTGAAGCAAGTCAGTGACACGGTGTTTCTAACACCGATCCGTTGTTTATTAGCACAGTTATATGGGAATAAAATAGTACTGCGTATAAGGTTTTCATATTTTCCGTACTGGATATGATATTCAAGGTATGTGGTTTATTTTACTGGAGAGAAAGTCAACCCAAATAAAAATGTCAGAATTTTCATAGTATTTTGAGTTACCTTTGATACGAACTTCGAAAATCAAAGTTATTACTTTCAGGAACATTGGTCGAAATGAAAAGGTCTCTGATTGCCTACGACGCAGAGTTAATATCCGAAGATCTTCCAGTTGGTAGCAATCCGTTTCAATTCCCTTCAAAGAGCGAATTATGTATGTCGCAAACCTACATCCCAGAAGAGGTTTTAAGACACGTGGGAAAGAGCATATTGTGATTTTTACTCAATTCCTCTGTACTATCAATTAGTGCAACGTAATGATATATTTGGGGTAAGCGCTATTTCTTAATGCCGATATTTTTACTGGGCTGCATAGGAGCAAATAAATGTAGAAGGAGCATCCAAAACTGTACCGAGAAACAAAAAATATCTCACTGTTTTCCCAGCTCTGCAGACCGCTTTTCCCATTTTTTCTCACTAGAATTATGTCATCAACCGGTTTCCCACTTATGCCTGTTTACATAAATTTTAATCCATATTCACGTACTTCCAATAGATAGTTCACCACAAATACCCCGATAATAATCGGCAAGAGCGATCTCGTGATTAATCCATTTCTGAAGATTTCACACGCACGGCTACAACGATTCTAGCGTGATATTAGTCAATGGATGCGACTTACTTTAAAAGCCAATGTCCGATGACCGCAGGAAAGTGTTATCAGAGAAGCCAGATAAAAAGGTCTAACCCACGGACCTAGGAGTAGGAGTATCACAGTTTATCAATTGGACTGTCTCATCTGACTGTTTGCCTGTGATATTCTCCGGAAAAGGAAGGCATGTCCAAAGCGGAGATCCAGAATTTTCAATCCAAATATTTTGATCAAGCCAGTTATCAAGAGTACAAGTATATAAATGACTTTATAGTAGATAAAATAACACAAAACTACAAAGAGTGTACGAGGAAATACACATAAAATTGTTCTTGTTCCTGTTATCTATTGTTATCTACTGCAACTGCTTAATCTTCATTTCAACTTACTTACCCGCAATCCGGTGTTGAAATTATTGCCTGCTTACGGGCATTTTGTTTTCTCAACCTAGTTTCAGATTCTACACTGAAAAGTAAATCGTTGGAAATCGCTGCCCGGATTATTCAGGGCTTTTGGCGTCGTCATAGACGGCGTAAGCTGGCCTCTGAAGCGGCATTGCGTCGATTGATGGCCGAGGAACGAAGACGCATGGATGAAGAGTTCCGTCCACGAGGGATGCCACTACGTGCAGTCCAGGCAAGACAAAAACAACTGATCGGAAAGCGTGTGCTAGAGGAACACCGGAAAAAAATTAAGGTGTGCAACCGCTTAACAGTTCTTGATGTATATTTTATCACTTCTG